GGCGGTCTGGTACGGACTTAATATTATATCAATTACATTGTACGTTACAAAAAATACCTTGCATAAGCGCAAAGAACACATAACAGGTGTAACCAGATGAATTGTGTGAGTCAGATGAATTGTTAATCATATTACGACCTCATCAAACAGGGGCAGTCGGTGACGTCTTTGCTGCCTAAACCTCGGCATAAAATATAGAAATACGATTTTATTAAAGCTTAAAATTAAAATACAGTTGTAAATACCATAATCGTATGACACAAGAAATTGGAATTTAAAGTAACCATAGTTGTTTGTAGTGTCTCTTTTCACTTTCACACGAGAAAATTCGGATCGGCTGAAAAGTAGGTCATTGTCTGACTTGGTTAATGAGACTCATGTTTCTGTTTGGGATTTTTAGAGCCTACATTCATAGGCTTCAGCTCAGGGCGATACACGATTCCATGGTGCTCGTGCATTTCATGTAGGGTGCGTTTTAGCGATTCACTACAGTGTAACGTTAAATTTCTGTTCAACGTTTCTTTTTTCAAACATTTTGTCGCAACCATTCCCCCACATGCTGGGATTCAGCATGGATTGGATTCTGTCAAATATTTTCCTAAAATTCAAATTTGTCCAATGTCAAGTTTATTTTTGTGAAGAGTATATATAGCTTAACTATGCGCCCGTTTTAACGCTGCACTCAGCAGTTTTCCAGCTATATTACGTTTGTAAATAATCGAATCTGGACGAAACAATCCACTGAATGACATCACGGCCATCGATCTACGCATCTGGGATTTACTGTGTCAACTAAGCCAGGTAGTCTGACATGCCGATCCCGAAAAGCATGGGTTGCTTAAGACCAATTCAGTCATCTTCAGAGGTGTTGTGTGGTCTTGTGCATAGGGCACAGGTCACAAATCAGGTGACGTTAAACGTTAACGTTGGTCACGGAGAGTCCTTGGATGGGTGACCGTGTTTAGCAACTTGACTCCTGAGAGTTTCTAAGACTTCAGTCCTGCCCAATACGAAGCACGTGTGATACATGTGGTCACACCTTATGAAAGTGACTTTGTTCAAAATTGCCTCTGTTCCCCTAGCAGAAACTGGGTACCCGGTGGTATAAGTCATTAACCTTCTAGCGCCTCACAGGCAGCCTGGGTTATCCAGGGTAATAATGTCCATCATGTTTTAGAGCATGTCCTTACGGCGTGGAGTTCAGCGCTATATAAGTGTCCAATTATTATCTTTGCGGGTTCGATGCCGACTACGAAAAACACATACATTAGCATAGGTTATCATAACTCCGTCGTTAGTAGCACCAACAAACAACATATATGTTCATCTATTTACATTCGTTGTTACTTGCGCCTATAAAAGAATATACGTGTATGTCTTTTATAACTGTACATCAATTGCTGCTTAGGTTTATCTTCAAACCATCTTCAAACCAGCAGATTACCGTACATGTGGGCTACTAACAGTAAATCATTCCCAAGGCTCGTGTCATGTCCCTTGTCATTAGAAACACTATCACAAAGCGGTGTCATTTTAATGAGAGGAGAAAACCGTAATTAGCCCGGCGCACTTTAGTTTTTAATCTCAACCAGGCAATGAATTTACAATGAGCTAAATGTTTCCATTTAACATGCATACATTCACAAACAGATAGACAGACAGACAGACAGACAGACAGACAGACACAATAAATAAAAATTAAAAATAAACAAAAACACCATACACACACCTACCTTCTATGGTTATTTCTGACAAGCTCTGTGCCCAGAGTTACTGTCCGCCAATGCCACATATATCGGTTGATCACCTCGGTGGTATTTAAAGTCGGGTCACTACCCATAGTTCGTTTTAAAAAGGTATACAGTATGTTATCTCCTAGTTTCATTGCTGTTAATCAACAATGTTCAATAGGCACATGTCAGTGCTGATAAAGGTTTCAATAACAGTGAACACAATTTGTGATTAAGTGAGGTATATTTTGGATTCTTATCAACGCATGCGTCACGTTCGTATAAATACCCCTAGTTACTGGTATAAATGTTGGCCTAACGGTACAGATGTGTGATATTGATGATATCAATTACAGGGGGTTTTCCTGTATCTGACACTTGAACATTGATTTGTGACGCAAGCACATTGATAAAACTGTATGAAATAGTTTGAACTTTATTCACAAAGAGAACTTTTCATGGCTTTGAAAATTAACCTTTGAATCTGAAAATACTCTAACACAACAGAAGTAGAATACCATAACGTGATGATAGAGTTAGCTAACACTACAGAAGTAGAACACCATAACGTGATGACAGAGTTACCTTACACTACAGAAGTAGAACACCATAACGTGATGATAGAGTTACCTAACACGACAGAAGTAGAACACCATAACGTGATGATAGTTAGCTAACACTACAGAAGTAGAACACCATAACGTGATGATAGAGTTACCTAACACAACAGAAGTAGAACACCATAACGTGATGATAGAGTTACCTAACACTACAGAAGTAGAACACCATAACGTGATGATAGAGTTACCTAACACAACAGAAGTAGAACACCATAACGTGATGATAGAGTTACCTAACACTACAGAAGTAGAACACCATAACGTGATGATAGAGTTACCTAACACTACAGAAGTAGAACACCATAACGTGATGATAGAGTTACCTAACACTACAGAAGTAGAACACCATAACGTGATGATAGAGTTACCTAACACTACAGAAGTAGAACACCATAACGTGATGATAGAGTTACCTAACACTACAGAAGTAGAACACCATAACGTGATGATAGAGTTACCTAACACCATACAGAAGTAGAACACCATAACGTGATGATAGAGTTACCTAACACTACAGAAGTAGAACACCATAACGTGATGATAGAGTTACCTAACACTACAGAAGTAGAACACCATAACGTGATGATAGAGTTACCTAACACAACAGAAGAAGAACACCATAACGTGAATAGAGGTATGTTACACCACAGAAGTAGAACACCATAACGTGATGATAGAGTTACCTAACACAACAGAAGTAGAACACCATAACGTGATGATAGAGTTACCTAACACAACAGAAGTAGAACACCATAACGTGATGATAGAGTTACCTAACACTACAGAAGTAGAACACCATAACGTGATGATAGAGTTACCTTACACTACAGAAGTAGAACACCATAACGTGATGATAGAGTTACCTAACACAACAGAAGTAGAACACCATAACGTGATGATAGAGTTACCTAACACTACAGAAGTAGAACACCATAACGTGATTATAGTGTTACCTAACACAACAGAAGTAGAACACCATAACGTGATGATAGAGTTACCTAACACTTTAGAAGTAGAACACCATAACGTGATGATAGAGTTACCTAACACAACAGAAGTAGAACACCATAACGTGATGATAGAGTTACCTAACACAACAGAAGTAGAACACCATAACGTGATGATAGAGTTACCTAACATCACAGAAGTAGAACACCATAACGTGATGATAGAGTTACCTTACACTACAGAAGTAGAACACCATAACGTGATGTTAGAGTTACCTAACATCACAGAAGTAGAACACCATAACGTGATGATAGAGTTACCTAACACTACAGAAGTAGAACACCATAACGTGATGATAGAGTTACCTAACACTACAGAAGTAGAACACCATAACGTGATGATAGAGTTACCTTACATTACAGAAGTAGAACACCATAATGTGATGTTAGAGTTACCTAACACAACAGAAGTAGAACACCATAACGTGATGATAGGGTTACCTTATACTACAGAAGTAGAACACCATAACGTGATGATAGAGTTACCTAACACTACAGAAGTAGAACACCATAACGTGATGATAGAGTTACCTAACACAACAGAAGTAGAACACCATAACGTGATGGTAGAGTTACTAACCACAGAAGTAGAACACCATAACGTGATGATAGAGTTACCTAACACAACAGAAGTAGAACACCATAACGTGATGATAGAGTTACCTAACACAACAGAAGTAGAACACCATAACGTGATGATAGAGTTACCTTACACTACAGAAGTAGAACACCATAACGTGATGATAGAGTTACCTAACACAACAGAAGTAGGACACCATAACGTGATGATAGAGTTACCTAACACAACAGAAGTAGAACACCATAACGTGATGATAGAGTTGCCTAACACTACAGAAGTAGAACACCATAACGTGATGATAGAGTTACCTAACACTACAGAAGTAGAACACCATAACGTGATGATAGAGTTACCTAACACTACAGAAGTAGAACACCATAACGTGATGATAGAGTTACCTAACACTACAGAAGTAGAACACCATAACGTGATGATACAGTTACCTTACACTACAGAAGTAGAACACCATAACGTGATGATAGAGTTACCTAACACTACAGAAGTAGAACACCATAACGTGATGATAGAGTTACCTAACACTACAGAAGTAGAACACCACAACGGGATGACTGAGTTACCTAGCACTACATAAGTAGAACACCATAATGTGATGATGATTGTACTACCAAAGACCACAGAAGTAGAGCGCCATAAAGTGTAACTAAGCATTGTAAAACTGTTGTTTCATTCAACTTTCCCTATCACTGCGGTCCTGCTAGCTACATATGTCAAGGCAAAGCGTATATCAGTGCTCATAATGTCAACCGTTGGTTTGACCCATGCATTTTCGATTATTTACAGACCCCGTCATATAGCTCGAAGAGTGTCTTGTGTACCTGTACAGATTACTGCTGTTACAGATTAATTGAAAAACAATTAGATTCATCTGGAAAAACTCAAATCATGCGACATTTCATGTTTTCAAATTTCATTGAAAATATAAATAATTAGAAATTCATATATTTTGTCAAAGTCAAGGAAACTATTTTTTTAAAGATTAATCGCGTAAGTGATCCACTGTCGTCTTTAATCTTCTATGTTCGGTACCTGGGTTCCTTCAGAATGCCACTCCTCCACAATCACAAGAACGAACACACTTGCCGGTCTCTACTATCTTGCCACGCTTACAACAGGTGATTAAAATCAGGACACAGTCCCTGAAGTCACCATACACATTCCGTTTTCCCATAAATACGCAGGTATGTATAATCGGTCAATGTTTGTTGGGGTTTCGGTCGCGTAAGCTTTATTTGCTTCAGTTTACGTTAGATGTGATTGAAGAGACGTTACGTCAAGCTTTGTGACGTGTGTCACAGGATGGGAAGAATACGTTGATCTTTCTGCAAACACCTGGTGTCATGACCTCTTGGTGGTGATTCGTGAACACGTTTTAATGATATAGTCGGAATCGTACATCGACAACACTTCAGTAGAGATGTCATAGGGAATAGGCTTTAGCGCTTTTCTGTATGTTTGATGTCAATTGAACACAAATATTTTTAATCACAAATCTTAAAAGGTCAGAATTATTAAAATATACGATAAATGACATGTATCAGTACATACGATAGCGATTTAAATATTTCTGATATTGCTAATCTGTATTCTCGCATATATTGGACGCAGACACGTATTGCTTGGTAAGTCTTGTCAAGTTGGCCAGTGTACAAATCGCGTCTTATCACCGTCCAAGCAGAAACAGGTGATTTGGATGAATGCAGAACCATGATGGCCTAGATCCTGGTTTACAAAGCTAGATATTAGTGCTTAAACTTCTTAAGTATGTGTTTAAGTTAAAGAAAAAGATGATGATTATATAGTAATCCATTTCTGCTTGGTACTTTGTAAGGCAATAATTTGGATGATGTCACACCAATTCTTTGTTCATTTAAATGATTACGCTAGTGTATGTAGACAATAAATACAGTATGTTAAAATACGAAAGTTATGACCACCTGCTGCTAAGATCGCTTTATGGATCTCTTAAGCCTAACGGTTATCGTATCTCTTTGTTAATGTAAAGGATTAACGTCTAGATCTTATCGTAAGATCTCTTTTGTTAATGTAACGGTTAGATAGTTAATGTAAAGTGTTACGGCCGGTTAAGATCGCTTTATGGAACCGGGTTAATGACCTATTCAGCCTGACGGTTATCGTATCTCTTAGTTAATGTAAAACGGCCGTCTTAGTTTCTTTATGGAACCGGGTTAATGACCTATATGATCGAGTTAATGTAAAGGGTTACGGCCGTCTTAGTGCTAAGATGCTTTATGGAACCGGGTTAATGACATCTTTGTGCCTAACGGTTATCGTATCTCTTTGTTAATGTAAAGGGTTACAGCCGTCTTAGTGCTAAGATCGCTTTACGGAACCGGGTTAATGACCTCTTGTGCTTAACGGTTATCGTATCTCTTAGTTAATGTAAAGGGTTACGGCCGTTTTAGTGCTAAAGATCGCTTTATGGAACCGGGTTAATGACATCTTGTGCCTAACGGTTATCGTATCTCTTTGTTAATGTAAAGGGTTACGGCCGTCTTAGTGCTAAGATCGCTTTACGGAACCGGGTTAATGACCTCTTGTGCTTAACGGTTATCGTATCTCTTACGTTAATGTAAAGGGTTACGGCCGTCTTAGTGCTAAAATCGCTTTATGGAACCGGGTTAATGACATCTTGTGCCTAACGGTTATCGTATCTCCTTGTTAATGTAAAGGGTTACGGCCGTCTTAGTGCTAAGATCGCTTTACGGAACCGGGTTAATGACCTCTTGTGCTTAACGGTTATCGTATCTCTTAGTTAATGTAAAGGGTTACGGCCGTCTTAGTGCTAAGATCGCTTTACGGAACCGGGTTAATGACCTCTTGTGCCTAACGGTTATCGTATCTCTTTGTTAATGTAAAGGGTTACGGCCGTCTTAGTGCTAAGATCGCTTTACGGAACCGGGTTAATGACCTCTTGTGCCTAACGGTTATCGTATCTTAGTTAATTAATGTAAAGATCGCTTTACGGAACCGTTTGCCTAACGGTTATCGTATCTCTTTGTTAATGAGTGTTCGGCCTTTATGGAACCATTGTGCCTACGGGTTAATGACATCTTGTGCCTAACGGTTATCGTATCTCTTAGTTAATGTAAAGTTACGGGTTACGGCCGTCTTAGTGCTAAGATCGCTTTATGGAACCGGGTTAATGACCTCGTATCTCTTACTTGATGTAAAGGGTTGTGCCTAACGGTTATCGTATCTCCTAGTTGATGTAAAGGGTTACGGCCGTCTTAGTGCTAAGATCGCTTTACGGAACCGGGTTAATGACATCTTGTGCCTTTCATAAAGCTAACAGTGTACATTCTGCTGTGCGTCTTGGTTCTCAAACACCTTGCGGTTGAATATATTTTACATTTGTTTGCAGGCTGTACAGGTGTTGTGGAATGTGTTCGTACTTACAGTTTGCTCTCTTGCTGCTAGCATGGCAGGCCCAGGGTAAGTGTACTGGTGCATGAACAGTGAGCGAGTCAATGAGTTTAGTTTTAGCAATATTCCAGCAATTTCACGACCGGGGACACCAGAAAGAGGCTTCAGACATTGTACCCATGTGGGGAATCGAACCTGGTCTTCGGCGTGACGAGCGAACGCTTTAACCATTAGGCTACCACACCGCACCCGCACGGACAGTGATAGTGTCCACATTATAGTTTTATACTTGGTTTTATGCTAAGTCTTCGTTATCCATCGCTATTACGAGAAATGCCCTGACAAGCTATTCTCTCAGTTCAAAGGTTAGATGCCTTTACTACGGTCTGACAATAGAAAGTACATGTATATAATTGGAAAGTGGGTTTGGGAGACGTTATTAGGCTGAAAACAGTCCCGGAAACAGTGTAAACAATCAGGTGCGAACTCCTGAAAACCCCCAACTCAACCTGTATCCAATACATCAACATTGAATATCCATATTATCTTGTTCGTTCATATTTAGCCAGACCTCACACAGGTATGTACTTTCTTATGCCCGGGGCGATGGGGTAGCCTAGTGGTTAAAGCGTTCGCTCGTCACGCCGAAGACCGGGGTTCGATTCCCCACATGGGTACAATGTGTGAAGCCCATTTCTGGTGTCCCCCGCCGTGCTATTGCTGGAATATTGCTAAAAGCGGCAAAAAACCAAACTCTTTCACTCACCCACTTTTGTCCGACAGTTCACTTTCTGGTAGAACATCGACAATCTGAATGTAATCATGTATACTCGACACGAGATCGATTTATTTACCTAATTTTGTTAACACCCAAATTTGGTTTTTTCACCCTCGATTATCCATGGGTAATATATATCTATATGAGAATATAACACTCGGACCAATTCGACTTAAGTTCTTCGATTCCAAAGGGACGTCATCATCTCCATCACACAATCGCTGCCCCTTAACCACGAGCCCACGATATATATAATCGATTTAAAAGCTAAACTCTTACAACACGACATTTCTGTGTCAACCGCCGTGATATTGCTGGAATAATGCTAAAAGTCGCGTAAAACTCAACTCACTCACTCACTAAAGACCTTGAATGTTACTGCCTTGTTCGAACAACTTTTGAGCAAGAATCGCTTGTCGTTCTTTTAAATCTTTGAATAGAGGGCATCTACGCCTATATTACCTAAATGAGAAAGAAATGAATGGAGATATAATGGTCTGTATAACAGAAGATGAACGCATCAAAGGGGACGTGTACATGTGTTCAGAGTTAAATGGTTGGAATTTGTAATATGTACGTATTCACAATTCGTGACAGTCGTATGAACACAAGTCTGTAACTATATATTTTCAAAAGTCCATCTCATATATGACATGTTATGTTTTGGCTTTGCTTTTGTTTAACGCCGCTCTCAGCAATATTCCAGCTATATGGCGGCGGTCTGTAAATTATCGAATCTGGACCAGACCATCCAGTGATCAACAACATAATCATCCATCTACGCAATTGGGATACGATGACAAGTTTAAGTCAGCGAGCCTGACCACCCGATCCCGTTAGTCGCCTCTTACGACAAGCATGGGTTGCTGAAGACCAATTCTACCCGGATCTTCACGGGCCCACATTTTATGGAAATCATGCTTCCAGTTCAGCTTTTAGTTAACGCAACTGCACTGAAAGCATTGGATTGCATCTTGAACCAAGGTCTATTCAGTTATGTATGTTCAGGTTCATCAACAGCGGTGAAATACCAGCGGTTCTGCTACTTTGCCGGCTGGGCACGTTACCGTGCCAATCCCGTGGCCTTCAACCCTGAGGACGTCAGCGTCAACCTGTGCACACACCTGTCTTACGCCTTCGCCGAAATTGACGCCACCGGAACTAAAATCATCCCTGGAGACCCCGCGGACGATCCAGTGATGTATGTGCACTTTCATAACCCTGGATAACCCTGTCGACATGGCAGTTCCAAATTCAGTGTGACTGGCCACCAGTACTCCAAATTCAGATAAAATCAGATAAATCAAAACACTTGCACTTTACTGCTAAATCAAATTTTGATGTTACGTATAGTCAGCTATCTATCCACCTCCAGATTTTGGATTACGTTATTATCGCTGGGCAATGTGCAAAATGTATGCAAAATAGGGTACACTGGTGATTTATCCAAACATGCAGGTTTTTTTCTAAATCACACTCATGCACATGTATAAGCTATACAGATGATGGACTTGATGACTGACTGACTAAGTTGAGTTTTACGCCGCTTTTAGCAATATTCCAGCAATATCACGGCGGGGGGACACCAGAAATGGGCTTAACACATTGTGCCCATGTGGGGAATCGAACCCGGGTCTTCGGCGTGACGAGCCAACGCTTTAACCACTAGGCTACCCCACCGCCCCTGGACTTGATGAACTTGCCTATTCTTCTGTTATTCGGATGAAACATGAACACATGAGTGAGTTACATTTTAAGCCGCAAGATTCTATTTTGTCGCCCTCATTTGGAAGGAACGCCAGATGCGACGCATGTCGTGGAAATTGATCACTTTGTTGAAACACAGGTTAGGTGAACATAATCAGTCAGGGAATCCTAACACTTCTAAGGGCCACAACTCTGTTTAGGGAACTGCGACCGCTAGTGTATTTTCCATTAACAAACTTAATCGTCGACGTAAAATATCTATGTTTTATCTTTTGCTCTTAAGGTACAGACGGTTTACGAGCTTGAAGAAACAGGATCCGAACATAAAACTGCTTCTTTCTATTGGGGGATGGAATGGGAAGCTGAAAGAATTCTCTCTTCTGGCATCAACTGATAACAACACTAACACCTTCGCAGGAAACGCCATCAAATTCTTACGTAGCCGTAATTTTGACGGCCTTGACGTAGATTGGGAATTTCCGGCAACGAGAGGAGGTTCCCCAAGCGACAAACAGCGCTTCACAAGGATGATCCAGGTGGCCCATTGCCACTAAAACCCCTACCAAATTCCCCACAGGCATTCTCTGGAATCTTAGAAGGGGCAGTTGCATTTAAAACAAACCTTAAGTCTTAATTTTATCTAAAGTGCGAGAAGCAGAGCTCTCTTCAAAAATTTCATGGAAATGTTGCAAACGTTGGGTGAAACAGACTAGAATTGTATCCAGGCAATTCAAAAATTCACAAGCAAAACATTTCCTGGACAACTGCAAAATCATTCAATGTGAACAGAAAACTAGTCTTTGAGAACTGGCTCGGCAGAGTAGTCCTCTGACATTGCTGAAATATTGCAAGCGGTGTAAAACAATTTTCACTCACACCAATGGAAAATTACAAAGAGACTGTAGTTGATATTTCACTTTGACTAATTTAATAACATTTCATATGGTATGACTTCCTGTTTTTCTTTAAGCTATTACGTCAAGCTTTTGAAGCCGAAGCATCTCAGACCGGCAAGGATAGACTCCTACTGACCGCGGCCCTGTCCCCAACTCCCTATCAGATCGGCGTGTCGTACGAGCCTGTCAAACTCGCAAGGTCAGTACTGTTGTGTTGTCATGACCCATACATCGTCAGGTCAGTTCTGTTGACCCACACATCGTCAGATCAGTTCTGTTGTGTTTTCATGACCCATACATCGTCAGGTCAGTACTGTTGTGTTGTCATGACCCATACATGGTCAGGTCAGTACTGTTGTGTTGTCATGACCCATACATCGCCAGGGCAGTACTGTTGTGTTGCCATGACCCATACATTGTCAGGTCAGTACTGTTGTGTTGTCATGACCCATACATCGTCAGGTCAGTACTGTTGTGTTGTCATGCCACAGTACTGTTGTGTTGTCATGACCCATACATGGTCAGGTCAGTACTGTTGTGTTGTCATGACCCATACATCGCCAGGTCAGTACATATGTGTTATCATGACCAATACATCGCCAGGTCAGTACAGATGTGTTATCGAGACCCATACATGCCCAGATCAGTACGACCTGGACATCTTCGAGACAAAACTTGAGGCACAAGCGACTCTTGATTACATTGTCCAGTTCACACTGCGACTAATGCTTCCATGATTAAATCATTTTCAGTAACCTGGATCTGATAAACCTGATGACGTACGACATGCACGGGGAATGGGAGGAGCTGAAGACGGCGGCTCACCACTCCTCCCTCTTCGGTTCGCCCACCGACAAGACCAACAACGTCGTAAGTGACACTTCTTGATTTGCGGTTAGCAGGGATGAGAAAATCTCTTTGAATCTTTTATGTAATAACATTGTCATAGTGTCTTCAACCGAGATTCCCTGTCTGGTAATGAAAGCCAGGAAGCCTCAAATACTATCGAGATGATAAGATGCTCTATGATCACCAGTGTGATGAGACTTAAATGGATGATAGGTCAAGGTATTATCTCTTGGGGTTTCATAATGTCACGACCCCTCGTCCCATAGCCTCGCCACAATTTGGAGATATTGTTTACTATAAACAATTTTTCTTCATTTGAAACGTTTGGGTTTTGCAGGACTACCTTGCCACGTACTGGGCAAATCTGGGCATTCCAAAGGACAAGATTCTAATTGGGGTTCCGTTTTATAGTCGGACGTACACAATGTCTGGAGGGAGTGTGAGTGGACCTGGCAGGGCTGGAAACTACACCAAAGAGAATGGGACACTAGCGTATTATGAGGTGAGTGAGACAGTAGCGTAAGTCCTGAGGTGAGTTGGACACTAGGGTACTATGAGGTGAGTGAGACAGTAGCGTAAGTCCTGAGGTGAGTTGGACACAAGCGTACTATGAGGAGAGTGAGACAGTAGCGTAAGTCCTGAGGTGAGTTGGACACTAGCGTGAGGTGAGTGAGACAGTAGCGTAAGTCCTGAGGTGAGTTGGACACTAGCGTATTATGAGGTGAGTGAGACAGTAGCGTAAGTCCTGAGGTGAGTTGGACACTAGCGTACTATTAGGTGAGTGAGACAGTAGCGTAAGTCCTGAGGTGAGTTGGACACTAGCGTATTATGAGGTGAGTGAGACAGTAGCGTAAGTCCTGAGGTGAGTTGGACACTAGCGTACTATGAGGTGAGTGAGACAGTAGCGTAAGTCCTGAGGTGAGTTGGACACTAGCGTACTGTGAGGTGAGTGAGACAGTAGCGTAAGTCCTGAGGTGAGTTGGACACTAGGGTACTGTGAGGTGAGTGAGACAGTAGCGCAAGTCCTGAGGTGAGTTGGACACTAGGGTACTCAGATGTGAGTTGACACTAGCGTGCTGAGTGTGAGTTGGACACTAACGCACTCTGAGGTGAGAATTTTGACGTGCGGGACACTAGAGTTCTGTGAGGTGAGTGAGACAGTAGCGTAAGTTCTGAGGTGAGTTGGACACTAGGGTACTCAGATGTGAGTTGACACTAGCGTGCTTTGAGTTTGATTGAATAGTAGCAAATTGTGACGTGCGAAACACCAGCAAATTGTGACGTGCGGGACACTAGCGTTCTGTGAGGTGGTTGGACACTAGCGTATTGTGACGTGCGGAACACTAGCGTATTGTGACGTTCGGGACACTAGCGTGCTGTGAGGTGGTTGGACACTAGCGTGCTGTGAGGTGGTTGGACACTAGCGTATTGTGACGTGCGGAACACTAGCGTATTGTGACGTTCGGGACACTAGCGTGCTGTGAGGTGGTTGGCTAGCGTGCTGTGAGGTTGGACGCTAGCGTGCTGTGAGGTGGTTGGACGCTAGCGTGCTGTGAGGCGGTTGGAAACTAGCGTGCTGTGAGGCGGTTGGACGCTAGCGTGCTGTGAGGTGGTTGGACGCTAGCGTGCTGTGAGGTGGTTGAAGGCTAGCGTGCTGTGAGGTGGTTGGACACTAGCGTGCTGTGAGGTGGTTGGACGCTGGCGCGCTATGAGGTGGTTGGACACTAGCGTTTGGTGACCTGCGGGACAATAGCGTGCTGTGAGGTGGTTGGACGCTAACGTGCTGTGAGGTGGTTGGACGCTAGCGTGCTGTGAGGTGGTTGGACACTAGCGTGCTGTGAGGTGGTTGGACACTAGCGAATTGTGACGTGCGGGAGACTAGCGTACTATTATGTGATTAATATTAGTTGTCGTAGTGGCAACGACAGTGGTAATCTCCGTCTACAGAAGGAGGAAAGTATATAGCGATAAACGTCGTGATAGAAGTAGTAGACGCAGAAGAAGCGGATTAGAAATCGTAGTAGTAACAGTCGTAATAATGATTTTACTAGTGGTAGTTGTAGTAGGTCGGAAGTAGCCGTAGTATAAGTGGTAACAGCAGCAGTAGTAGCAGTAGCAGTGTTAATATTGAAGGTAATAGTAGTAGTTGTAGTAGTAGTAGTAGTAGTAGTAGTAGTAGTAGTAGTAGTAGTAGTAGTAGTAGTAGTAGTAGTAGTAGTAGTAGTAGTAGTAGGAACAGTGATAGTGGTAGTTTCAGTGGTTGGAGCAGTACTAGTAGTGTTTTCTTTGGAACAAATGGTTATATCTTCATTCAAGGTGGTTGCGATAATATCACCAGGTATACAATTAACGCAAAACGTTTTAATTTTAACTGTAACTGAAAGTACACTCAGTGATGTCCCTGTGTGCAGGTGTGCAAGATCCTGCAGGACGGCGCCACTGGTCAGCGTATCGACTCACAGAAGGTCCCCTACCTGGTCAGCAAGGACCAGTGGGTGGGGTATGATGACGAGAAGAGTCTGGCGGCGAAGGTGAGGCGACCCTCTGTGGTCGGGAATGCTTTCTTGATATCCCTCGGGATAGTTAGATCATCTATTATTTTCTTTTTCCTCTTCTTTCTTTCCTTTCTTGTGGTGAGACAAGTTTTAAAAGCATTAACAGAAACTTTTAGACGTGTTCTTTCAGTTCAGTGTCTATCGTCAAACGTTGAAGTAAAATATGGAGAGTAATGTTGTTTGTGTTGTAGGTCAAATACGTCATCGACAACGGCTTTGGCGGCGTGATGGTGTGGGCCCTGGACATGGACGACTTCAGCGGCATCTGTGGCAAAGCTTTCCCTCTCATGAACGCCGTAAATCACGCATTTGGGACTTTGATTGGATAAAGAATATTCCTACTTTGACGTTTTGTATATGAATAAACTCATTGAGCTATTTTATTTTCCATTTTACCGCCAGGAGCTTGCAATAGAACGTTAAAGGTTTTTCGGAGAAAGGTTTGTTGGCACTCACCTGGCCATCTGCCTTGTTTTACGGATCTGCCAGTTCAATAATGTATTTATTGAGTAGTCACGTTTTATCTTCCTGGCCATTATGAGTGAGTGAGATGAGAGAGATTAAATATGGGTATAGTGTGGTACTAACATCAGTAAGATAAAATATGGGTATACTGTGCAACTAAACATCAGAGAGTTAAAATATGGGTATAGTGTGCAACTAAACATCAGTAAGATAAAATATGGGTATAGTGTGCAACTAAACATCAGAGAGATAAAATATGGGTATAGTGTGCAACTAAACATCAGAGAGATAAAATATGGGTATAGTGTGAAACTAAACATCAGTAAGATAAAATATGGGTATACTGTGCAACTAAACATCAGAGAGATAAAATATGGGTATAGTGTGCAACTAAACATCAGTAAGATAAAATATGGGTATAGTGTGAAACTAAACATCAGAGAGATAAAATATGGGTATAGTGTGTAACTAAACATCAGAGATAAAATATGGGTATAGTGTGCAACTAAACATCAGAGAGATAGAATATGGGTATAGTGTGCAACTAAACATCAGAGAGATAAAATATGGGTATAGTGTGCAACTAAACATCAGTAAGATAAAATATGGGTATACTGTGCAACTAAACATCAGAGAGATAGAATATGGGTATAGTGTGCAACTAAACATCAGTAAGATAAAATATGGGTATAGTGTGCAACTAAACATCAGAGAGATTAAATATGGGTATAATGTGCAACTAACATCAGAGAGATAGAATATGGGTATAGTGTGAAACTAAACATCAGTAAGATAAAATATGGGTATACTGTGCAACTAAACATCAGAGAGATAAAATATGGGTATAGTGTGAAACTAAACATCAGTAAGATAAAATATGGGTATACTGTGCAACTAAACATCAGAGAGATAGAATATGGGTATAGTGTGCAACTAAACATCAGTAAGATAAAATATGGGTATAGTGTGAAACTAAACATCAGAGAGATAAAATATGGGTATAGTGTGAAACTAAACATCAGTAAGATAAAATATGGGTATACTGTGCAACTAAACATCAGAGAGATAGAATATGGGTATAGTGTGCAACTAAACATCAGAGAGTTAAAATATGGGTATAGTGTGCAACTAAACATCAGTAAGATAAAATATGGGTATAGTGTGCAACTAAACATCAGAGAGATAAAATATGGGTATAGTGTGCAACTAAACAGCAGAGAGATAAAATATGGGTATAGTGTGCAACTAAACATCAGTAAAAGATAAAATATGGGTATAGTGTGCAACTAAACATCAGAGAGCAACTAAACATCAGTATAATATGGGTATAGTATGTAACTAAACATCAGAGATAAAATATGGGTATAGTGTGCAACTAAACATCAGAGAGATAAAATATGGGTATAGTGTGCAACTAAACATCAGAGAGATTAAATATGGGTATAGTGTGCAACTAAACATCAGAGAGATAAAATATGGGTATAGTGTGCAACTAAACATCAGAGAGATAAAATATGGGTATAGTGTGCAACTAAACATCAGAGAGATAAAATATGGGTATAGTGTGCAACTAAACATCAGAGAGATAAAATATGGGTATAGTGTGCAACTAAACATCAGTAAGATAAAATATGGGTATAGTGTGCAACTAAACATCAGAGAGATTAAATATGGGTATAATGTGCAACTAACATCAGTAAAATATACTTATGGGTATAGTATGTAACTAAACATCAGAGAGATACAATATTTGTATAGTGTGCAACTAAACATCAGAGAGATAAAATATGGGTATAGTGTGCAACTAAACATCAGAGAGATTAAATATGGGTATAGTGTGCAACTAAAGTCCAGAGAGATAAAATATGGGTAAAGTGTGCAGTTAATTATCAGAGAGATAAAATATGGGTACAGTGTGCAACTAAACATTGGTAAGATAAAATATGGGTATTGTGTGCAACTTAACATCAGTAAGATAAAATATGGGTATAATATGTACCTCAACATTAGTAAGATAAAATATGGGTATTGTGTGCAACTAAACATCAGAGAGATTAAATATGGGTATAATGTGCAACTAACATCAGTAAAATATACTTATGGGTATAGTATGTAACTAAACATCAGAGAGATACAATATTTGTATAGTGTGCAACTAAACATCAGAGAGATAAAATATGGGTATAGTGTGCAACTAAACATCAGAGAGATTAAATATGGGTATAGTGTGCAACTAAAGTCCAGAGAGATAAAATATGGGTAAAGTGTGCAGTTAATTATCAGAGAGATAAAATATGGGTACAGTGTGCAACTAAACATTGGTAAGATAAAATATGGGTATAGTGTGCAACTTAACATCAGTTAGATAAAATATGGGTATTGGTGTAAAAGCCAGACCCCTACAATTGTGAAAATGTGGTGCAGTTCTGGCGACCAAACGGGATGTGATTTTTCACAATCAGGAATGATTTAGCTTTGATTTAAAACCGGTTGTCATCAACTACCGTGCGTGACTACCGTGCAGGGGCCCTTTTGAGGTGCAATATGTCATGTCAGTAATGGCAATATTTTAACCGATAACTGGATGGTTTAATTTAATAACTCTGGTTTAGATTGACCGATTTTCATCACAGTAGTAGTTTTGGAATGCTCAGATCATGATTTAAAATTGTGGACAATAATATTACATATATGCTCATCAGCAAAGATTGTTGGTAAGGTCAAAGGTCAATTTTAATAGAAAGGGCATTTGATGAGAAAATATGAGTTGAACGTTACAAATTAAAGGTAATTGTTTCCAAAATTATGTTTTTCTAATTCAGCTATATCATTTGAAGATCATATATATCTTTGGTTGGCACTGTATGCATTATAAAAAACATTACAAGGAAACAAAAGTTGGTACTTTGTATTTAGATCAGCAAAATATTATATAATGTCTGTTCAACAGTAACAGCTCCATGCTTTACATAGTCAACGATATTATTCCAGATGTCTTTCTCTGCTCATCAAAGGATGATGAGTTAGTTATGCCATCATAACGCAAGCAATATTTCCTTCATATCAATTCGTGTCTATTGTTCCTAATAGTCATAGTGTATTCCTAGTTGACATGTTAGTCAATGTCAACAATGTCAAGATCACGGGAACATGTTTCTAGTCCACATCCACATGCTTAAGTACACAACAGGTTCAACCTCTTTGACACCTTCCTGTACATTGACTTTTACATGCAAAGTTATGAAGTTGAAGAAGATCCACGGAAACGAATTAGTTTTAACTTATTTGCAACTTATCAATTTTACAAATTTAAGGTAATTTTACCAAAATTATGTTTTTACAATTCGGCTATATCACTTGAAGGTCATACATACCGTTGGTTGGCACTGCATGCATGAAAAATAACAATTCAGCTGATGTCAGAAGGAGATATGTTTTGATAAGTGTCAATATTGTTTATGTTTGTGTCACTTCACGCTCTAGCAGCACTGACATGCCGTGAAACCCTTAAAGCTGATGGATAATAGTATGACATCCTAATGGAAGGTTAACAATTGACATTATGGTGTGCCATTTTTTCTGTTTACAATGTGAAATATTACGACTTTTTACACCGGCAATCATTAATACATTGTTAAAGATATGACACACTGATCAGAAAGGCGTCATGGTATCTTACCACCAAATGTACACACCCGTCATATACCTCTGAAATACACAGTATTCCCAATTCATTCCTTTTGATTGTAATAGGTGATGTAATTTCCGAAGTTTACTTGGGATCGAAATATGCATATTTCCTTAGGTGGGGAAACATTTCAATTGTAAATTTGTAAATTTTCAAAAGTTTTCATGGCTATAAACTGGTGATGGTTTCCATTAGATCACCAGCTTAATCAGTTCGTTTCAACCCATTGTCACTTCTTTAGACAAATGTAAGTGGGAAAAAGGGCTACTGTTTTTTACAGACTTAAATGTTGTCATTCACATTGAGGTTTGATAGTTGTTTAGGCTATGCAATATGTTATTACTCTCTCCTGGTTAATTGGGTGTTAACTGATGTTTCGCATCCATGCATTATACAATTCTTTCAGATAAGCATGTTTTCAAATGTATTGATTTAGTATTTCAAGCAACGCTGCAGGTTATCTGGAGGTCGTGGACGTATCAACGCATTAACGCCTTGAACAGATAGACCCGTGAAGGTCCGGGTTAGTATGAACCTTCAGTAACCCATGCTTGTCGTAAGAGGCGACTAACGGAATCGGGTGGTCAGGCTCGCTGGCTTGGTTGACACATGTCATCGGTTCCCAATTGCGCAGATCGATGCTCATGCTGTTAATCACTGGGTTGTCTGGTCCAGACTCGATTATTTACAGACCGCCGCCATGTAGCTGGAATATTACAGAGTGCGGCGGAAAACTAAACTCACTCACTCACTCACTTGAACAGATACCTCCCATCTTTCCTCTATTTCCACTACCCCATGGATAATTGGAGAAAATAATCATGCTGATTAAAAGATCGCACAAGCAATCGTACATGCAATGTATTGGATTAACCTTAAGTTTCCATATTCCATAAAATCAAGCAGATATTCAATATGAACTCAAATACAACGATATTTCTGGGCTCTGGGCTACTAAGAAGCAGCCCAGAAATGTCGTGTTGTAAATAATAAAGAAGTTGTAAATCCATACCATACGTTGTTACGTTACCTTCCAACTTCAAAATGCCCATCACGCATCTACATGTTGATCAGTTTACAGTGCAAACGTCATGAAAATTTGACCCATGATTAAATGTAGTGATTAGGATGTAGTTGTGTGGCATTTCACCAATAAGTGAGCGCACGCACACACGCACACACACACACACACACACACAATCAAGTCACCAGGACAACACACACAC